GTGTGTGAGTTGTGAATTCCACGAAACTTTAAACAATAGTAATGATAATAACGCAAACAATTTTAATAACTGCAAAACATTGGATTACGATTTTTTAACCTTCCTGCGTCGTGCTATCGTTGTCAGTGCTGAAGAACATAGGCAAAACTAGAAAATTGTATTAGGACAGGCCAAATGAGAATTATGAAAAAAAATTCTAATTATAAAATAAGTTTTTTTATTTAAATTTTAAATTTTATTATGTCAGTATATTATCCAGTTAGTATTAGGTCAGGCCATGGCCTTAGTGGCTTGACCCGTAGTTTCGCCTATAATGGGAACAAAACGATCTTCATATTGGACTTTATGGTACCGCCGAATGTGACCCTAGATCGTATACCTGAAGTTAAAGCCATAGGACTTCCAATAAAACCACTGAAGGGACTCTGCTGCACTCCGGTCAAATACACAGAGTCCAACGCATAAGATGTTATGGAAAAGGGGGACTAAGAAAGTTGGAACTATTGTTMAAACTTCAAAGTCGATAGTTAGACATTTTTGAATAAATTGATTATATATTTTACATACAATTATTTAAATAATAATTAATTTTCCTTAAAAGGAATATTAAAATTCAGTTAGACTATAGTTTAAAAAATAAGTTTCACTGTTTTACAGTTATAGATATATGATGACTTGCCCTTCCTTGAGTCAAGTCTAATTCTTAAGTAATTTCAGTGGAATAAAACACTTACGATATCACCTAAACAATTAGGACAAATCATTAGATGAATTTTATAAAATTTTAATTTGTATAATTTCTTAAATAATGTAGAAATCATATAAAATGAAATGTATGTACAATATTTATATAGTGGGTTTAATTTCTAATTTAATATAATTTCAGGCTCGTGGATAAAAAGTACAGTTGTTACTCACAGAACACAAATATTTTGAACGGTTCGTATGTATTCAAATACATTAAAAATTAGACAGTCATAAAACCTACTACTTTGGTATAATATATTAGGTACTCATATTTCATAAAAAAAAGTTATATAAAAGGTTATATACCTAATACTGTAAAACAGTTGGTCATCAGTGAGACTTATTTTTTTAAACTGTACTTTAACTGAATTTTAAAATCTCTTTAAAGTAAACTTAATAATTAGATAATTGTATGTAAAATATATAATTACTTGTCTATCAATTTGTTCATAAATTTCCATCTGTCGAGTTTGAACACAAGACATCTGTATTGATGTGTATTGTGGAGTTATGTGTCAAACAATAAATAATTATATAGTTACACATTTTAACTACCTATAATAAATATTTTATTTACAGAAGTATTATATTCAAAGTCGACGGATGGGTATTTTTGAATAAATTGATAAGCAAATAATTATATATTTTACACACAATTATCTAACTAATTATTAAATTTTTTTTTTCCGTTTGAACCGACAGCAAGGGAAACTAATTATTAAATTTACTTTAAATAGATTTTAAAATTCAGTTAGAGTACAGTTTAAAAAAATAAGTGTCAATTTTTACAGTATTAGGTACAACTTTTTTTTACGAAATACCTATGAGTAAAGCTATATTATACCAAAGTGGTGRRTTTTATGACCGTCTAATTGGTATCACGTCAATTGTTCGTCGAAAATAGTTCGCGCGACAGTTGTTCGCGTGACAATTATTCGCAGCAAAATTATTTGAATAAGACAATTATTGTTCGTAAAAAAAAATAATAAGACTTGATTATCATGTAATATATTTTGTAATCCATACGGMAGTTAATAAATAATATACTATTTGATTTAGTGTGAAATGTGTGAACTGTGAAGTTTTAAAATCATATCGATAACGTATCTCGTTATCGAACATTATAATTTAATGGGCACAAAAATCCCATTGTGTTCTGGAATAGTAGGTATCTACTAATAAAAATACTAATACTAACACATACTTGTCACAAAAATTATACAACAGTAATTTTGACCATACAATTTAATTTTACCCCAATAAATATTTGATTACTATGGTTTTAAAATACGTAAAAAGTGATCGCGGTACAGATATACTCGTACATAAAGTTACATGTTCTATTGCGAAAAACAGACGGAAACAAAAACTTATTGGAAATGTTCATTGTATAAAAAATATAAGTGTGGTGGTCGTTATCATGTGGAAAATGACGAAGTTGTCAAAAGTTATGAATATATTATAATCATGTACCAGATAATGCTCAAGTGGAGACAAAGGAATTAATCTATAACATTTTAAATTTAAAAAAAATATGTGCAGATTATAATAACCGTACAACAGTTGATTATCTTCGTGGTGTTGCATACAATTTTCAATTGCAATTATAAAAACTATATTGTAACTTAATATTATTGACATTCACAAACGTGGAAAAATATTTAACATTGTATTTTATTTTTTATGTATTATTAGTATATTATTATTATTATTTATTTATTTATTTATTTTTATTTCATGTTATGTGAACATACGAACAATGTATACACGAACAATTTTCGTATTCAAATAATTTCCAGGCGAACATTAGACGCGCGAACTATTTTCGGCGAACAATTGACGCATATCCGTCTAATTTTAATGTATTTGAATACATATGAACTGTTMAAAATATTTGTGTTCTGTAAGTAAAAACTTCAATTTTTATCCACGAGTTTTAGAAATTAAATCTGCTTTATAAATATTGTACATAGGTACGTTTCATTTGATATGATTTTTACATTATTTAAGAAATTATACAAATTAAAATTTTATAAAATTCAAGTGTTTTATTCCACTGAAATTACTTAAGAATTAGACTTAACTCAAGGAAGGGCAAGTCGTCATATATATATATTACTGTAAAACAGTGAAACTTATTTTTTAAACTATAGTCTAACTGAATTTTTAGATTCGTTTTAAGGAAAATTAATTATTAGTTAAATAATTGTACGTAAAATATATAATCACTTCCTTATAAATTTATTAAAAAATGTCTAGCTATCGACTTTGAACAATATTTCCAACTTTCTTAGTCCCCCTCTTCCATAAAATCTTATGCGTTGGACTCTGTGTATTTGACCGGAGTGCAGCAGAGTCCCTTCAGTGGTTTTATTGGAAGTCCTATGGCTTTAACTTCAGGTATACGATCTAGGGTCACATTAGGCGGTACCATAAAGTCCAATATGAAGATCGTTTTGTTCCCATTCGCATCTTCTTCAGCACTGACAACGATAGCACGGCGCAGGAAATCTATCATTCCATCGTGTTCAGCAAAGTGGTTAGTGAATGTCCAAGAACTCACCTTGGCTTTCATGTTCCATACCTTTTCCAAGGTTGCTATCATTAAATAAGAAACATTTGCCAACCATTGGTCGACAATTGGAAGTGACGATTCACCGCTGGCAACTGACCACCGCAACGGTACGACTGGCGTTCTAGTAAAGTCAACCGGTGGCAAAGTGAACTCGGTTAATCGTTTTATGTCACTGGCCGTCAGGGGTGAGTACGCAGGGAAGAAGTTGGGTGGTCCACATCTGTAACAAGCGAAGGTTAAAAAATTCAATTCTCAAGATATAAACTGAAGAAAGCGACCTAATGGCTATAACATTTTTAGTCAAATCTACTCTTTACAAAGGGGCGAATAGGGCCACTCATCACAATTTTCATTCTGGAAAAATACTCAAACTCTCTATCATGCGTCTTTTTAGTATGATTATTGGTGCCATACGTATGTTAACACCCATATACAGTATTTTTTTTTTATTCTTTAAAGTTAAAAATTTAAAAAAATGCTTGGTATAATAATTGATTTCAATTTATATGCGTCGTTTAGCAAAAATTTTCTAGCATACTCTAATGTTGACACGTTTTACTTTTCCGTTTCAAATTACTTATTTTTCTTTCTTGATTTTTAATCAAGTGAAAACTTCAAGAATTTGTGTTAAATAGGAAAATCATAAAAATGTTACTCAGTTAGAGATCCGATATCACACCCAAGCGGTATAAAAAAAAACGTCGTCGTGAACAGTCCCGAAGTTTCTATTTTTCTCCTAAACTATAATAGCTCATTAAAAATGAATTATCAAGTAGATRGAAAATATACTTAAAAACTAATTTAATTTCTCGCAGTTAAAAAAAAAGAATTATTTTTCGCTAGATTTTCATTTAGCAGGCTAGATTTCTGAAATTGGAAAATGAATTTTGTTGTTTGAGATCTTACTAGATAGTAGATACACATTGGTTAGGAGAATTGCAGTGAAGATTTTCACAACTTTATATTCAATCGTTAATTCATTTCAAAGCCTTAAAGCTTAAAAACATCAAAAAACGCCCAATAAAATAATTAAAAATAAAGTTCTGAAAATCTTCACTGCATTTTTCCTAGCCAATTTGAATCTAATAAAACAACGAAATCGGCTCTCCGTTTTTGGAGGTATATCACACTAAAACTAAATTAAAATTAAAATGATTTTTTTTTACGTCTCTTTACACTGACGTTTTTCTGAATTCGAATTGTTATACCGTTTGGGTTTGATATCGGCTCTTTCTCACATATTAAAATTAGCTTAATTACCCACCTACACAATAAAGTTACACTTTTATTTTTTTTCTATTTAATTCTAACTAGTCTAACTCTTGATGTTTCAAAATTCAAACTTTTTAGTTAAAAAGATAAAAAGTCATTTTTTTTCTAAATTTTCATTGAACTGCATAATAAAATACATGGATATTACATACAGTTAATAAATTTCTAAAAATTAAAAATTAATAGAGTTTAAATACCGATCTCTGACTTAGCAAGCGTTTTTATATTTTGGTATATCAGTCTTACTTATTTCGGAACTCAGCAGGTGACTTTATCCAATCGATAGCAATCTCATATTGCATCAGTTCGTCTTTGAATAAGAGTTCGGATTTTGTCAGATATCTATTCACATTTTTGATCCGATCAGCCACTGTTTTCAGTTTCGTTTTACACGGACTGAGGTTTAGCTGTTCAAGCTCTTCCAATTTATTAAGTAACAGATTTAATTGATCTAACGTTTGCAACCGCTCAAACTTTACTGGCACTGAGGGAAGCTCTAATGACAAGCAATCAGAATCATCTTGTTTTTTCAGTAACCATATTACCAACCAAAAAATTACTACCACGAATCCGATTGATAATATATCAGCAAGCATTAGATATAAAATTATTAAGTTGTACTTAAAAATAATTAGAAATAAGTTAATGAACTTAMAATTTGTTWAAAAAAATAAGCTTGTAAATAAATAAACATAGCAATGGATGTGATGGATACTCGTTTATTTATAATAACAAAATTATTTAAATAAATCCACTTCATAATTAAAATAAACATGACCTGGACATGAATTACGTTTTTAGGAATTTTTTAAGAACTTCTTAAACGATACTTTCATAAACAAAAATTAATATTGATAACTTATACATTTGAATAACCAAATTGACTCGTTTAAAATTTTCCCACTAAATACGACCATTGGAACCTATATATTTTATTTCGTGTACATACTTTAAAATTAACCATTTATTTAAATAGATATATATAATGTAATTGTTTACGTCTCCCGGATTTTTCAACAATATTTAATATGTCTTCATTATTGATGGGGATTTCCCTTTCTATATTCAAAATACTTAAATTGCTGAACCTATTTTAATTCATACAAATACACAATGCTTATACGTCGCATAGTAGAAAATGATTTCTCACACTCGCAGGTCACCGTATCCGTACTTACGGGAAGAGTGACAGCTACTTGAAACATTTTACAAAAATTTGGAAATTACTCTGCTTAAAAAACTTAAACTTAAAAAACAAAATTAAATGTTTAATATTATTACTATTTCACGCAGCGCTATGACATTTTTTTAATACCTTTATATTTTTTGATCTCGTTACTTCCATTAGGTACATAACTTTATCAACTACACTTTACAAAAATCGAACGGCGTTGACAACGATGAAGATAATAAATGACGTATCATGGATTCATACATGGCTTGGCGATAACTGTAATTTTTCGGAGTTTGAAAATCAGACACTAGAGCAGCGGTTCCCAACCTTTTTGAGACTATTACCCATAAGTCAGGTTAGATATTTACAAATACCCCCCGACACAAAAAAAAGTATTGAGTAAAAAAAAAAAAAAAATATATATTATTACAATTTCATTTACAGTCATAATACACATGTGTAAATGGATAATAAGTACTTAAAATACAAATAAATAGTTTAACTTTTACCCTCAAAAAATTGTGTTTTTACCCCTTAGGGGGTAATTACCCCCAGGTTGGGAACAGCTGCACTAGTTATAGGTAGCATACGTACAGCCATCAGTTTATAGTCTGTATAAGTACAGTATAACAGAATCTAATAAATAATAATTAGGTAGTCACTCACAAGTCACAATTATTGTCGATAGTGTAAACGATAAGATACGTATGTCGTAAGAAATATTATGGCATGGCTCACGTCTCGTAAAATATCCTAGTTGAAATACAATTATTATTATATATTATTATATTTTAGGTACTTATCTTTATCGTAGCTTCTGTGTATACAGCGAGTCGATCTACGAGCTGAGCTTGGCGAGCTTTGATAATATTATATAAATTGTATTATATTTTCTTATTATTATTAAAACTTTCAACAACAATTAAAAACTAAACTCAGACAGGGCCGCACAGGGGTGGATTGGGGAAGATATATATATAATTGATATATATATATATATAAATAGATATAGATAGATATATTATATTGTTTCAAACGTAGTTTATTTCATTAATTTTACGAGCTAATTAAATAATTAGATATTTGAACTAATTTTAATAGAAAGTTAAGAATAATCTATTAATTTTTGTAAAAATGGATAAATTTAGATATTTTGATCGATTGCCACCAGATAAGTTCTCCATCCATAACTCAAAAAAGAAATTTTACTTCAAAAATTAATTTAAAATATATTTATTTAACTAAGTATAAGGTGGATGGTGTTGAAATAGCGAACATTAATATTAATATTATCATAAACTAAACAATTATTACCATTTATGATCTTATACTCATCAGGTACCTCAGACCAACTCGTGTAAGACAATGGGTTTTCAGGTGGTTTTCCATTTTTTGCTCTCACTTTTTAGATCGTACGAAGTATCGAAATTATACTTGGTAACTGGCCAACTACCTACACTAACTTCTGTTGTTGAAATCGTTCTACTAATAATGTTTCTTGTTAATAATTCCATGGTTTAGGCGTTTTCTTTGAATTGTTCTATAACTATGTTTGCCTGGACATTTGAAATATCTGGTACATGTGAATGAACTGACTCTTCAATAAATGTCCCTTTAAAATAATTTGAAATATAGGTAAATATTGTTATTAAAAAAATTTATCAAAAAATTTGCAATCATTATCACCCGTCTGACCAGAGAAATTTTTCACGAAGATAATTTGATTGGAAATATTTTTCACTAAATATAAATTGACGGAGATATTTTGATTGAAGATATTTTGTCGTATTTTGACGCATATTGTAGTAATGTCGTGGTTTGCATGACGCACGGCGATAACTTAAATATAAAAAACCTACTCGATCGTTTAAATTTTTTAACTAAAAAGTTAAAGTTAAGTTACTTAACGAGTTACTTTTATTTTCATAAGTAACTTCTAACTTAATGAGTTAATTTATTAATTTTTCCTAAAATAAACTTCAAAGATTTAAAATTGTATTTTGATTTTTACAACTTATTTCAATTAAAAAATATAAAAATAATTATAATTGTAGAAATAACCAAATATTATTTATAGTATGTCAGTATGTGAGTGTTTTGTATTATTTGTATATTTGAAATTTCAATAGGTATTAAATAGGTATTAATATTTTTAATTTATTTGTATCCAATATTTATCTGTGTAATTTATTTAATTAAATCCTATAATAACAAATTTAATAATTACAATTTAAAAATTATTGGGTATTAAAAAAAAATTCAAATTTAGCCATAATTTTGGAAAATTTGTTGGTTAAAAAAATACATTGAAATAATTTATTTGTTTTGTTTGATCTTATAATTGATTGAAGTATGTAAGTAGTACTTACTACTTACTAAGTACCTATTGTGATTATTAATTAATACCTACAATAACATATTATATTGTATTTATTAAAATTAGTAACCCGTCCACATTATTAAGTTATTTGTTAAGCTTTAATACAAATTTAATGTACCTATGGTGATTATTTATTTTACATGAAAAAATAAAAATAATCTATTTTTAACTACCTAAGTTAAGTTACTTTTTTTCAAATCAACTTTTAACTTTTAACGAGTTAAATAAATAAGGAAAGTGACTTTTAACTTTAAATTTAACTTACATTTTTCTCTATCAACTTAACTTAACGAGTTAAAATAATTAGTTTATACTTGCCCAGCCTTGACTCGTAAATACATAACAATAATAATTAAAATCACTATACTACATATTTATTTATTTTTTATTGATCATAAGTCTGGCAACTATGGCTAGGCCATGGCATGATGAGCTTTAATGCATTAGCTGTTTGTGGGGGGAAACGGTTGGTTTGGAACACGTAATGTAGTATGATGATGTATTGATGTGACATGTGTGGCGAGGATTTGTTGCTAAAAACCCGGGTGGTCACCCATCCGTGTGTCAGTAACACCGGCCGGTACGTATACTCAGAGCCAGTGCTGGATCTTGAACTCTTTGGGCCCCGGTGCAAAAAAAATTAAAGAGCCCGGATTTAGGTATGTGGTAGCCCCTGGACGGAATGCATTGTGGGGGGCACTTACACATCATAAATAAGAAAATATATTTTTTTGCTTATTAAATAAAATTTATTATCATATTTAGTATACTTCTATAGTAGTAACAATCTAACTACTTATTTAATAATAAATAATTATAAAAACAATCAAATCAAGTATAACTATAGTATAAGTAATAATATCATCATAATATTAGATGTAAGTAATTAAATAAAGAATAATAAAAATTGTTATGTATTATAAATATAAATAATAACATAAACGTATTATATAGACATTTATTGTTAACAGTATAAATCGTAATGACGTACAATATATTTCTACTCGCTAATAACCGATGGACAGTCCCCACCGATCGTAATATGATACTTATGAGTTATGATTATTGTTAGTATAAACAGTATAGGTGTAATATCATATAATATAAATGCTGAATATGCAACAAAAATAATAATGTTAGGTAATTAAAATTTTAATGCCTGGAACTTTTTTTAAATTTCATTTGTACAAATTTATCAATAACGTTTTGAAAATCAACACCGATTACAAATGGCATAAAAACTTATCTTATCTAGATTCTTAAACAGACACCGTCCATTGTCAACAAATGCGAATACATCTATTATTATAGTTAGTAAAATTACATTTTTTATATRTCCAATATTATTAAATAAAATATTTGTTCTGTATCCAAATTTAAATATCATAAAATTGGTGGGGCCCTGAATTTGTGGAGGGCCCTTGGCTGCAGCCCACTCAGCCCTCTCCTAAATCCGGCCCTGAGAGCCCCTAATTAAAAAATCAAAAAAAATCAAAAAAATCCTCGATATCGGGGCCCCGGCGCAATGCAACGCTTGCACCGACTGTTTAGTATTTATCCGGCATTACTCATAGCGTTTCAGCTGTTGAGCGTACGACCGTCGCACCACAAGCCACATATTTATTTACATACATATATAATTAATCAACAATCTTATTTGTTTTACTTTAACCCGACATCGACGGGTAATACGGTCGTCGGTCAGTTTTATCTAAGGTATGCGGTTTTTGGATTCAACGAAGTATATTGGTAACACCATTTTTGACGTGGAATAATTATGGGGCTATGGAGGTAAATTATTTCGAATTTGTTATCATAGTTTATCTAGTGTTAGCGTTTCCCGCCAAATGGAACCATACAAAGCTCTTGTTAAAGTGATGATAACATTAAACGACATTGTAATAATATTATGCTTTGAATGCTGTCAATTTGTTCGTAGTTCGTAAATTGTCTAGTWTTTCGGCTTCTTCATATCGCTCTTAAGCACTGGTCAATTAAATTACTTGGACAGATTTGTGAGTATTTTTGAATTTTAGTATAAT